ATATCCCGGCCACTCGTGCGGTGTTCCCGCCGACCGAGAATTACCATGAATTTATATAATTCGCACGCGTTCGTACGGGATGTTTCGTCTCGCCGATATTTTAAAGAACTCCGGCAATTTGTATTTCGAAGCCTCGCGGCGCTGCGACGCGTGGAAGGTATTTTTAACCGTTTCGCCGCTGTGCGAACGGGACCATCGATGCTAGTACACACTGAACTGTCATCGCTATTCAAAGTTTCCCAGTTTCGCGACAAACGTATGGAACCTCGAGTCATAGTCAGTCAAAATCTCCATCTGTCACCGAGAAACGAAAGAATAGGTATTCAGTATAGAACGCGTCAACGTCGCATCGAGTCGAGTGGAATTCAAGTATGAAATTTAATTGCGAAACAAGCCTGTTCCCAATCTTCCCCGAATCTAGTCGATTCGCGTGAATCATTCGGTCATCACGTACGTGCACACGATCGGCCGGCATCGGCGTTCCCAAGCGGCCTGCGCTCGGCGACGCTACCGACGGCGAAAATACTGTTACACGGGAGCATTATAGGCAAGCAATCGCACGATCGCGCCTCGGATGAGGGGTTGGTTGTTAGGTACGCGACCGACTCGCCATAACTCACGGGCAGCCGCGAATTATGGCGCGGCCGCGGCGACGACGCACGCTCGCACCTGGAAAACGGCGAGCGAGCGAGCGAGCGAGTGAGCGACCCGGCCGTTCGAGATTCAGCCACGATCATTTCTCACCGGGGTACTTAACTCGTCGAGGAAATATTGTCCGACTTTGGGACTGCTTTATTAGGCTCGCTCGACGACGCGATGAGGCACTGCCTTCGGGATCGCTGCACGCTTGACAAACGATTTGGTCTTATTCGATCTCGCCCGCTTTCTAAGATCGCTGTTAAGGAACTGGTTTAGATTGAATGGGCCGCCGATTCTGACACGTAATAAAAGGAACACGATCACCGACTCGGACGTCGCGTCCGTGTCGTTGTTGATGGCACCGGGAACTTCGCGCCGAATACGAGCTCGGTTTAATTAGATTAAGAGTATACAGATTCAATTAGATAAGCGGCTGATATTTCGAAAAGATTCGCTTTCGATCAACACCACGGAAGTCTTAAAAGACTTAAAAAATGCACACCAATCGAGTCAAATCTGGACTTAACAATCATCCCCTTAACTCTTTGCACTTGGGAGTCGCCACTTGGTTTGATACAGTAAAATTATATGCGTCACTATGTGAAATATCAAAGTAAAATAGTTTTGTCCTTCAATTTATAGATTAAATTGTGTACATTAATCGCAGCAAGCATCGTCTGTATTTTACCAAAGAACGTCGAATGTTTCCAGTGAAAAACTTTCGAGTGCAAAGGGTTAAAAAACAGAATACTGCGTGGAGACCAGATATCCGTATTCCAAGGATTCCCAGCGAGAAGCAGAAGATGCAAAGATTGTTTCCAAGGAACGCTAGGCGACCGTCCACCATCTTCCCCGAACAGTCCTCGAAAAAGAGGACGCGAACGTCTATCGCTCGGTAGGTTTCTTCCCAGGTGTATTAGCTAATTGAAAACGAACGATCCTCCCCCGAATGGTCGTCGAAGCACGTGGGCGTCCGTCGCGTATCCTTCTGCCGGTGGCGGTGTGCAAACTCGCAGCTGCAAGAAATTCGCGCCGTAATTCACGCCTCACGGTGCCGCGACGTTCGTCCCCTGGCCGACCGCATTCGCTCACGTCGGCGGTGGCCGCGTAGCTTTCGCCTTTTTCGCGGCGGCCGGTGCCCCGAGCGGCCGGCTAATAGTCTAATTAGTCGCGGCCGGACACCGCCTTATACAGGGCGACCGCTTCAAGGTGGCCTGGCTACGAAACTCTCCGCCGATGATGCATTACGCGGAGACGTGCGCGTATCCCGATCGGGAAGTGTCGCGGCTAAGGCCTACCGTCGCCGCGTTTAGACCCGCGGCCGGCTCGCTAATTGGAACTCCGCGGGCTCGCACGAGCGCGAGGGACCCTGGACCCCATTTGCATGGACGAGAGTGATCGACTAGGGACGGGGCCGAGGATGTGTGAAATATTAGCTCGTTCCTGGTAAGATAAATTATCTCAGTGGCTGTAGAACTTTCATTCTTGCCTCCTTCGGAATATAGATTTTGCGATGCTGGGGAAAGAGGATGCTTATTCTCTGCTTTGATCTAATTAGATGAATCCGTACGGTTTGTAGGGATCAGAGATTACTGATTCTGGGAAAGTTGACGATGGAAGTAAATCTTGATGTTTAGTTTGAAACGTTAACACTGCTAAACGCTCATCGAATTTACACAGTATCAATTAACAGAGCCGAAACTAAAAAGTCAAGATTCTTCGTATGTCATTGTCTTCCTTATATCTGATACATCCAATGCAATTCGTTGGATGCCAAGGCAATTATGCTTTAACCCTTAGCACTCCAGATTGTTTTGTAATTTATGAGCAACTGCAAGTAATTTTTATAGTACTAGCGAAAATGAGAAATGCTATAACAGTTCTTCGATTTTTTTTCCTTCTTAGTAGAAAATTTGGATGTGTGGAAAATCGAATAATTTTAGGGTAGTTTCTTTAAGGTTCATTAAAATATTTAATATTATAACTGGTGCAATATTGGAGCCTACAGAGTTCGAAGGGTTAAGTTTCTGTAAACAGTGGTGTCACTCGAATGTGAGTGACGTGGCAGTGAAACGGTTGAATAAACGAACGAGTGACAACTAGAGCTAACTTCCCTGCGTCCACGTCGCTAACGCACGAAACCTGAAAAAACTCACCGCTAAGATCCCGCAACAGGACGATTCGCGAACCGTAGAATTCCGTATGAGACTGTCGTTCCCGTCATTTCGATCGGGCAGGTCGGCCGCGCTCGACTTCGACCGACAAAAACCGGGAACCGTCGCAACTACACCTGTTACCCTTCGATATCCCATTGCGATACGGGAAACGTATCAAGAAGGGCCCGGCATACAACCGGCGACTTGCCGCCTCCTGGACCCGGCGAAAACGCAAGCGGCCCCGTGGCACGGCGCTTTTTTCCTCGCCGCGGCCGTGACTCGGCTCGCTAATTAACGTGGCCCCGGGCCATCAATTTGAAATTGATCGAGCCTTTTTTACCGGAAAGTGATTCGCGGCGGGCGCACGTGATCCACGGACACGCGAGACATCTCTTCCGGCGGCTGTGTCCCCGGTGAATCCTTAAGGGACCCGAAAGTACCCCGGGCCGCGGGCAAAAACGAGGATCGCCGGAGTTTCGCGGCCCTCCCGGCTCCCCGGGCCGATCCGTCGAATACATCGCGGATGACGCGGCAGAAAATGATATCGATAAATCAGGGTGCGTCTAGCGACGTATGATTTCAATTTAATAAAGTGACTTGCTGCTCCGGGGGGCCCCGCGCACAAAGAAACACGAGAAACAATCTCTCCCGCGTGGCTTGTTTATCGCTGCGGCCGCTTCTTCGTGTACCTCGCGAGAAGAACCTTCTCCCCGTGCCCGCTGCCTTTTTGGGGAATAGTTTATTTGCCCGGGCCGAATGGGATTTTTATTCATCCGGAGGAGAGTCGAGATCGCTCGGGGAGATCGGTAGCTAAATGAGCGAGACACGTTCGAAGGTTCTTTTCATTACAGAAATTGAAGTTTCTTTCCGTTCGTTCTCGGAAACGATCGCCGGCGATCGAATCGGCGCACCCCGCCCATCCTACGTTCACAACGGAGCCACATAAATTCAGTTGAAAGTAGAACCGCGGTAGTCTACGAACGCACAGCTCAGCAGTCACGGAAACCGCGGAGTCCCAAGAAAGTAGAACCACTTACATCGTTTATCTCCCGGCTCCGGCGTTCCTAGCGTCTACGGTCCGCGGTCTACACGCTCTACATCCAGCCGGTCCAGGCTCTCCGTGGTTCGACCGACTCGCTCGAAAAGTTGAGAAAACACGTCTCGGTCGGAGCATCGCTGCGAGTCCCATAAAACCATAAACGAAACTAAGGTCTGTGAAATAAGACGAAGGGCCGGTCGGTACGTGTTCGGTGAACCGTTATTCCCCAGGAGAAAGAGGAGAAGAGAGGCCATGCCGAGAGAGCCGCGGATACGGATGGAAGGAATTCCGAGTTAGTTAGCGACAGTTTCCTATACGGCGCGCCTATTCGGTGGACAGGTGTGAAGCGTGTGCGAACCCGCCGCGGTACACGCACGCGTGAAACGGCCGTGTTAACACGCGCGCGAATCCGGCGGGCACAGCGGGGCGCGGAATCACCTCTCCGGAGCGGTTCCAACCTCCTCCCCGGAGTTTATAATGGAACCGCGTCGTTCCCGAACTTGCTACATCTTGTTGCTCGTGTTTCGGGCCCGGGCCACGGGGCTGACTTAATAGTCGACGAGAAATTGCCGGGGCGCGGTTCCAATTCCTGAAATCGCTTCTTACGGCGAGCTCTCTCTCTCTCTCCTTCTTTCCTTGCTTTCCCAGTCCCCTGGAACCGCTCGTCCCTTGTCTTGCGATTTTCTTGGCGTCTGGCCTCCCTGGAATTCCTCGTGTAGCGAGCGAATGTTTGAATGAGTACGAGACGCGCGCCGAATGAGTGAGAACGAATGGGATAGAGCGACAGGCGATGCGAAGGATTGGTGTATGGAGAATGAAAGAATGTGTGTTGCTAAATACGAGGAGAGGAGGAGAGTCAGTTAGTTGACCAGCGAAAAACGGAATAACGCGTCGAGAAGAGATTGCGACGTTCGGTTCGTTTGGGCAAAAATAGTTTGAATGTTGAGACTGGTTAGGGATCGATAGGCATATCGGGAAAAATAGAGGAGATTGTTAGAAACTACAGTGTCGCGGACATTCGAAATGTAGAGCAAGTCTGCTGTTTTAGTGCAGGACGGTTTCCCTCTGGGGGATACGCCGAATTGCTGTGAAACGTTCAAACAGCGCTGCGAGTCTCAATAAATTGAATAGATAACGTTTTAGTAACTTCTACCAGCACGCTCAACCTTCATCGAGCTCCATCCTAGACACTGTAGTTTCGATGAATTTTCTTGCTACAGAAACTAGAGCATTGCTGTGATAACTATCGCCTCGAGAACTACGGTATTGCTTCGGCAACTACGGTATTACCGTGGAAACTACAGTTGCAAGCTACAACGAAAAATTAGGATTCACTCGCTTCGGGAACTAGCTGGCATTAATGCAGAAAATACGTTGAGCTACGCGTTCCCCTCCCCGTGTTCCTTCACCCTCCTCGCTTATTAGAAATTTCTACGGGCAGCTTTGTTTATGCGACCAACAGGCATTCGTTATCGGTCGACAGCGTGACCGACATGTCGGACAGCTCGACGCACGTACCGAGCTGTCGATGGTATCGTTCGACGGGTAGGTATCAGCCAGACTTCCTGCCGTGGAGGAGCACCGAGCGAAACGGCGCGGTCTGCTCGAAATATCGCGGCCTCGATGGCGGCTCCGTATCTCACCCTTGTTCCGTGGGGCGCGTGTGTGCGTGCCAGCTCTTCCTTTCCTCCGTCTCCGCCCCCGCGAACGCCCCCTTCACGAATTATGCGGCCCGCGTGCCGGGACACCTGTGCACCGAGCACCTTGAACCCTCTCGGCCATGCCGTGTCGCTTTGGATTCGATTCCCGGTGAAACCAGCCGATCTGCAATTGGAAAACGATCGTTTATTAGACGCTGCAAGCTTCTTAGACTTTTGTCGTTTCTAGATTGATTCACCCTTTGCGGTCGAAAGTTTTGGTGAGTTTAGTAAGGTTTTTTTAGAAGTTTCTAATATTGAGTTTTGTGGTTTTCTAGCTTGACTAATCCTTTGTGGTCGACAGTTTTAATAAGTTTAGTAAGGTTTTTTTGGAAATCTCTAATACAGAGCCTTGTGGTTTCTAGTTTGACTAATCCTTTGCAGTCGAAAGTTTCAGTAAGTTTAGTAAGGTTTTTTTAGGAGTTTCTAATATTGAGTCTTGTGGTTTTTAACTTGATTAATCCTTTACACTGAAAAGTTTTGCATTAGAAATATTCGACATTCTTCAGTGATATAAACGACATTCGCATCTCGTATGTATGTAAGATTATAAATTTGCTATATCAAATCAGGCGGTGACTGAGAGTCACAGGTCGAGCGCGAAAGGTTAAAAGGTTTAATTTGACAGCGGAAGCTTCCGGTGATCGCTCGAAGTCCGATTAACAGATTTCAAATGGGGATTTTGTTCGAGAACCTTTGGCAATGTCGGTGGTAAATGTTTGATAAAGCGAGAAAAGCTAGTCGGTTTATGGATATTTTCGGAAATGCTCTTCTAACGACTATCTCTCTTCTACTGGGAACATCGATGCGTCCTTTTCCCCTGGAATACAGGCTACCAATTGCCTGTACTCTTGTCTTTACATGCAACTTTGATAGTCGATGTTGACGTTGATCGATGGCGCGGCACTTTATCGTTGACACGACGATATGCCAGGTGTTGCGCGAAATTCCTAGCGTTAAAGCTCTTTTTTATCAACGTCTGTGCCTCGCGGGGGCAATAGCTCGTTGTTATTAAGGCCCTCGTAGGGATTGGGTTACAACCGGTGACAGGAACACGACTACCTTGATGAATCGTAAAAGTATTTACGTCTTGCTATGCAAATGTTAACGGTGTAGGCGAAAACTTTGCTCGATAATTTGCAATATTGTAAGCTCGCCTACTTCTACCTTCGCGATAAGCGTCGCACGTGAAACAAACCTTCAGAACGCGTTTAAACATGGTCTCCTATAAGATTAACACTAAAACTACCGAGCAGTTGAATAGTAAATTTAACTATATATTTCTTGAATAACTTCTAAACATCTATCTTTTTAATAACTGCGAAGAAACCAGGAGAACGTTTCGTCTGATAAGATAACCCCTTTGCACTCCAGAAGTTTTTCACCGGAAATATTCAATATTTTCTAACAAGACACAGACGACATTTCCTCAGATTGAATTAATAAATCTCACATGCATCGAGGAGAACTATTTTCGTGCATTGATGCATTATACAAAGTTTAATATTAAATACCAAAGTATCCAATTTCGCTGTGTCAAATCATTTGGTGACTCAGAGGATCCTCTCAGAATCAGTCAGAATCCTAATCTCCAAAGTGATTCGAATTTCCAAAGTCGTAGTTACATTATTCCACTCCCTAAGAGAACTAGATTTCCCAAAGCGAAGATTTCAAACTACATCGTTCCCGAACTCTCGTCTGCAAACAGCCGAAAAACCGAAAAACAAGCGAGTCCTAGTTCCGATCTCCCTCGGCCGGTCCAGTTACACGGGGATCGTCTCGCCCGATACCAGAGCCGTCTGACAGACAGGCGCAGCCCTCTCGCGCCGAGAGAGAGCAGGCAAATTTCCAGCGCCGTGGAACAGCCCGCAATCTCCGTGGCCGCGAGAGGAGGACCCGGAGGGCCGAGGTGTCGCCTCCCTGTTGGGGCCACAGGGGACATAATCCCCGAAAGTCGCGCAGGCTGGATCGCGCCGTTCACGAACATGTGTCTGACATTTTTAATCGTCGGATTAAAATAACTGATGCCAAGGTGTAGCCCTGGAATCCATTATCCGGCGGATGAGCGGGACGGCCACCCAAAGTGTCGCGTGTCCCCGGAGACCTGCCATCCGGAGCCGGGCCATTGCTAAGCTCTCCCCTTTCCCGGTGTCCTCTCTTTTGATTCCGCAGGGGGAGGCGCGACCAAGCCAAGGCCAGAAATACGCTCCGAAGAACAAAAGAATCAAGAGTGCGCCGGAGGTAAGCTGCTTCCTCGAACTCTCCGAATATTAAGCGGTATAATCGATGATATACAGCCCCGATAGCTCGGGAATAAAGCTCGAGTTCTCGGTTTCTTCGCTTTTTCCCTCCGTCGTTCCAGCTTCTTCGTTTTTTCACGCTCGGGTCGGGAATCTCGAGACCGGTACCGTTAATCTTCGTCCGGGATTTCGGGAATAATTTCCTTTCCGCGTGAACGCGGCGTTAGACGGAGGGCCGGGCTGCAGTTTCGAATGATGTTTGACACGGGTAGATGGAGCTTTGCGTCGAGTTGGGAGTAAATGGAAGTTCAAATTTCGTGTTAAGGATTTTAATGTAGGATATTGATATTGTTTGAAAGATATTGGGACGGAGGAGGGCATGATGGGATCGTGACACGACGGAATTAATTACCGTTTGGACCAATCGTTAGAGTCGGAAACACGGTAGATTCTAATCGCTCAGACCCGTATTCCTACCGGCAATCAAGTTTCGAGCAACGGACGGTACTTTGTAGCATCTATGGGAAAGAGACTAGTAGCCGGTCTTCGTCTATTCTGTTTTTATTAGTTTCTCGTGAGAACTCCGACGCTTATCCGCGTGCCATCGATTTAAAGCAGGTACTTTCACTAACAATTATCGGTTATGTAGTTCACAGTTATTTCCAGATGCCTCGCGGAGTTTCCTTCTGTACCGCTCAATTAATTAATTACTAAAATGTGTGTTATTACTCCGGCGGCGTATAGGCAATTACCATAGTTATTATCTACATAGTGTAACTTTGTGTTCTCGCCGGGTACTTTCCCAAGGTAATTAATCTACCCGCTTATTTAAACCGAGCGTCTGCCTTTCGTCGGAATCGATTCCAACAGTTTCTGCGAATCGAGCCTGTGATTGACGTCGAGGCGAATCCGCGTAACGTTACGATAATGAATTTACAGCCCGGCCCGGTAATTGGCTTTATTTAAATAGCATCGTAACGATCGGAGCTCCAGCGCACGGGGAGAGAGATCGTTCGAGTCCGCCAGTTCGACCGTTCCGTTCTCCTAGACAAAGGGACGAGAGCGTGGGTAATGGCAGAAGAGAACTGTTCGCCGGTTTACACGTGTGTACGTCGGAAATGAGGAGCTCGCCTAGGGCAACACAGCAGCGATCGAGAGATTTCTTTATTGCGGAGATAATAATGATCAGACCCTCGGCTCCGCCGACTTAAGAGCTGCCCGAGGCCTCGGTTTACCGGCAAATTACTCGGCATCCTGCACCCACCGGTGTAACAGTCATAAGCCTATTTTAAATAAGCACCGGCTGCCTCGTTAGGCCATGATCCGCTGCTCCTCGGCCCGCCTAATACTCTTGCAAAAATTCGACCGGCCTCTTCCTCCATCTGCTTCGCCCTGAACGCCTTCGAACTTTCACCTTTTCATTCATCATTTTCAGAAGTAACTCAGCGTCGTTTCGTTCCTTTCATTCAACCGTATATATCTTTAGAAACAAAACGCGAGTGACAGGGAATATCTTGGTAGAAAATCGGATTGTTATGTATATAGTTAAGTATAGTTAATAAGCCACCGATCGACGAAACTTCGCCATCTTATAAATTACTCGAAAATATTCAATCCTCCTTTATGTGTCACGGAAATTTCGGTATTTCGCTTATTGATTTCTTAAATCAAATATTCAGTTATATTCAAGAATTTAGCCATTAGATTTTGATATTGTTCTTTTATTCTCGCTGCTGTTCAACGCGTACCATTCATATGCTCTTAAAAATAATTTCTTACAGAAATTCTTATGTACCATACGCGATACGTATAGCACCGATCGTGTCAGACGACATCAAGGAGAAGAGCCGTAGCTCCGCGTAAAAATCAGTCCGCGAGATCAGGTGTAGTCGGCGGGATCGCGCAACATCTACACGTTCCCCGAAAAGAAGATCATTATCTGGCCGTGGGCACGATCATTCTCCGGCCATTAGCCGCTAAATGTTGATCTTTTAACCGGTAGCCCCGCCACGGCGCGTAATTACGACGGTGAAACGCGGTTGGCACCTTGGGAACCGTGGCTGATATTCATTACGTCGACGGCGGCGGCGGCGGTAGCGGTCACGCGAGGACATTTGTCATTGATAGATGTGTGCACAACCGACCGGGACGAGGAAAGATAGAAGGAATGGTGGCCGGGGTGCAGCAAAGGGGGAGAGAGGGTTGCGACAGGGCCGTACTTCCGGAGGGCGGTACCTAGCAGAGGCTGCCCGCCAGGCCGATCCACCGTGTGTGTGCACGTGCGTGGCCTACCTGCATGCACAAGTGTTCCAGGTAAACCCTATCGGCCGGCGGCCATGTTCCCTTGCACTTCTGTCGCACTTTCTGGTACATTCGCGCACGCACGACCACGCCGACCGGCTTCTGCCGGCCGACGGACCCCGGAAGGTCGACTCAGGTATTCGTCGCTCATTCCTGTCCGCGCTCCGATACGAGTGCACCCTTTTTTGGCACCGTTTCGTGCACTCGGCGATTTCTTTGAAATTACTTTCTTCGAAGTTCACCGGACGCGACGTTCTTCCGCGGAATCGTTCGACGTCTTCGAGGAGAGTAGTAGATCAAAATGACCTATTCCTGAGTTCTGTGTTGAATTATTAGAGATAATGGATATTTGGGAAATTGTCGAAGAGATTGATTTAGCGATAAGTGAATTTTAAATTGATCGAAGCTTCAGTGGATGCACTCTTGGAGTTTTTATAGGGGAATTTTGAAAGTTCGATTACTTGGTAGTTTTAGTGTTAAGTGAGACTTTGTTTTTTTTCGCTGGTAAGTTTGAGGAATTGGTTCTTATGAGTTTCATGTTACGATGGAAGGAGTGTATAGTGTCAAAAGAATGATATTATTTTCG